CCTGTAGTGCTGGGTTTCTCTGCACATAAAATGATTTATCATTGTGGTTTCCAGTTTTGTTTTTGTTTTTGTTTTTTTTTTTAATTCTGTGTTTTAGCACCTTTTCGTGTGCATGCTCCTGTGGCTCCCCTAATTTGAGCCACCTTTCTGGTGGAGGCTCCTCTCTCTCCAGGTGGTTTTCGGGAGTGCCTTGTGCATTCTAACATACCCACGTCGGCCTTGAACCATTGTTCTGGCCCTCATATTTCCGTTATTAAAGGGAATACATTTAAACATTCTCCATCAAAGAAAATGTTTACTGAAATACTTTTCAGGTTTTATCAAGTCAAGAAATGTGTTTAAATTCAGCATTTTATAGAATTAATCTTTAAAATTATAGGCAGGAAACAGTCTTTGAAATTACAGACGGGTATCTTCACATTGAGATAATGGCTTTTCTCTTTAGTCCATTGATGTGTTGAAATACTTAAGAGTCCGATGCTGAAAATTATTGTAAACATAGAATAAGTTCCACTTTTTCATAACATATTATTTTAAACCAGTAGCAATGGCTCCATAGCCACAGTGAGTTTGGGTGACTGGTATATTGTCAGACTCTCCAGTGTGTGTGTGCATGTGTATTTTCTTGTAGGGTATCATGTAGCCCAGGCTGGCCACAAAAAAAGTGTGTAGCCGAAGATTACTTTGAACTCCTGAGTCCCCCGCCCCTGCCTTCCAGGTGCTGGGATTATAGGCATGTACTACCACACCCAGCCCATCAGACTCTCTTGCTCCTGGCTAGGGGCTAAAAATGGTAGGGGTGGGCGTAGAAGTGGAAGACATAAGCTCTGTGTGTAAGGGGCATGGATGGCAGCCACCTCATATAAAACACAGGAAGTGATGTGTGGTTCTACGCCAACAGGAGTTACAGAGAGGCTTTAGCTTGGAGTCTGGGACAGCCGCTCCTAGGTGTGAGTGAGAGAAGAGAGGCCTGAAGAAGGAAGACACTGTTTGTGTCCACTCCGGAGACCTCAGAGATGGGGGGATGAAGGGCTGAGGGATAAGGAAGAGGGCCGTATGGGAAGGGGCTGCCTCATCCTTGACTGTGTCGTGGTAGGTGGGTTTGCATGTGTATGGTGCTCATCTTGAAATAGGTGAGTTTTAGCTTCACCGAAAATGAAATTTTAAAGCCGGTGTTCAAAACTAGCCTGGTCTACAGAGTGAGTTCCAGGACAGCCAGGACTACACAGAGAAACCCAGTCTCAGAAAGAGAGAGGGAGGAAAGAGAGAGACAGAGGGACAGAGAGAGAGAGAGACAGAGACAGACAGAGAGACAGAGAGAGACAGAGACGAGAGATTTTTAAAACTACAGGAAAGATCTAGGATCTGTATAAAGGCAGACCATTTATCCATGTGAACAGCTGGATTCTCATCTAGAGTCTTAAATACTACAGCAGGCATTCTTCAGCACGGTCTGGTGGTTCATAACCATGGCCAATCTCATCATCCCAGGACAGAGGACCTCGTGTGCTGTGGTGGGGTGAGGTCTGTTCCTAGCCATTAGGAAGACACAGGGTGAAGCCGGCAGGGCCTTTGAGGTGCTGTGGAAGGCCTGATGCAGCACACAGCTGGAGTGCTGGGTACTCTTGTGACAGACCTGGCCTTCCAGCCCTGGTCTCTGGGTCCCACGGGTGCAGTTTTGCTGTGTGTGTGTGTGTGTGTGTGTGTGTGTGTGTGTGT